TTGTACGAACGGATAAGTTTGTACGAACGGATAAGTTTGTACGAACGGATAAGTTTGTACGAACGGATAAGTTTGTACGAACGGATAAGTTTGTACGAACGGATAAGTTTGTACGAACGGATAAGTTTGTACGAACGGATAAGTTTGTACGAACGGATAAGTTTGTACGAACGGATAAGTTTGTACGAACGGATAAGTTTGTACGAACGGATAAGTTTGTACGAACGGATAAGTTTGTACGAACGGATAAGTTTGTACGAACGGATAAGTTTGTACGAACGGATAAGTTTGTACGAACGGATAAGTTTGTACGAACGGATAAGTTTGTACGAACGGATAAGTTTGTACGAACGGATAAGTTTGTACGAACGGATAAGTTTGTACGAACGGATAAGTTTGTACGAACGGATAAGTTTGGTAGATTCATCCGAAAATCCATAAGCCTTCAATTTATTTAACAGCAGAGGAGGGTGTAATGAGTCAAACGCCTTAGACATATCAGTAGATAGCACTCCCACCATATTTCTATTGTCAATCGCGTGTTTCCATTGTTCTACAATGTTAATGAGAGTAGTTTCTGTGCTGTGCTTTTTGCGGTATGCCGTGAGGTTGTTGCTGAGTCGTTGGTCCATAAAGGCTATTACCTGATCACTTAAGAATTTTTCAAAAACCTTGTCACAAGTTGGTAGTAACGTGATTGGTCTATAATTTTTGATATCATGAATATTGTCCTTTTTAAATACTGGTACCCATTCCCCTTTCTTCCATTCACTAGGCCAGTAACTCTCATCTATGCATCTATTGWAGATTGTTGTTGGAGGTGTCGATGAAGGTGCAAGCTCATTGCACCCTAACTTTAAGACCATGTTAGGTATGTCATGTCATGTCCAACTCCTTTTTTTCAGATTGAGCTCACTCAAGGCTTTTTGTAAGGTAAGAGCTAAAAAACAATGAAAACATTTATTTTTGTAATGCAACATAATAATGGTTGCACTGTCAAATATATAAGGCAATTAAACTTAAAAATAAATTAGTTTTTATCCGTTTACACACCACAATTTGATACACACACACATTGTTTAACTATTTGAGTCCCCATTATTAGCTATACAATATTAAGTAGATAGTTCCCATAATTGCAATTACGCACATTTGCTAAACTCCTAATACGCCAAGGGACTGCGCAGTAATTATCAGTGGGGAAGGGAGAAAAATGAGTGAAAAAAGCGGAAAAATTAGGGACGTCAACCCTTTTTAATGCAATACCCCCAACAAAAACTGAAAAATTAAACTACAACMCTCCCTTCGTTCTGAGTTAAACTATGGTCTAACTGAACACTTACGAGAGAAGCTTAGCACAGAAGCAGTGACAATGATTATAACCATGAATACGCCTATGATAGCCATTACGACGGCATTCACTTCATTTTTACATTGCATTCGCATTCATTTCATTTTTACATTGAATATATTACATCAACTGCATGCTACGTAGGTCACCCCGAGGGAGACCCTGGCGGAGACTGGTCACGTGATACCCAGGAATCGTGGGTATCGGCCCCAGGCTGCTCGTTTGAGCCTTGAAACGGCCAAAAAAAAAACAACCGAAAAGAAAGTGGAATCGAGTAAAAACAAACATGGCGGTTCGATTGAATCAAAACACAATATTCTGATCTTTCTGTTGAATTTTTGCCCCAGCTGTACTCTGCTTCATTGATGTTCAATTCAAACGAAAAACAAAGACTTTACTTACATTTACAACTCCATTGAAATGTTTTTCTTGTGTTTATCCAACCAAGAGTGGAGGTTCTCCTTGTCCATACCGATTAGGGCCGAAACTCCAATGTCCTGGAAGCTTCTGTGGCTTCTTTTTGGCACTTCTTTGAAAGACTTTAACCTCCTCAGGTCTTGAATTGCCAGGAGCTCGTCGTCCTTAGACTGGCGGTGGTGGTGTGTGTTGGATGACTTGTGGATTAAGCACTACTTGTCAAAGTTGAATACAATGTCTTCCACACCTGCTGCGGCTCTCGAAGCACGCAAGAGAGATTTGGTAGTTTTATTTGCTCCCATTCCCCGAACCACGTTCTTACTAGATCTGTTGCAAATTTCCTGTTCCGCGTCACACTCGATGTTTGTGCCTGAACAAAAATACTTGTCAACATAAGTTGGATGGTTTTTTAAAAGTCCAATGGAATAGCCATATCCACAGTACTACCATACTACAGTACTACCATGCTACAGTACTACCATGCTACAGTACTACCATGCTACAGTACTACCATGCTACAGTACTACCATGCTACAGTACTACAGTACTACCATACTACAATACTACAGTACTACCATACTACAGTACTACCATGCTACAGTACTACAGTACTATCATACTACAATACTACAGTACTACAGTACTAACATACTACAGTACTACCATACTACAGTGCTACAATACATACACTACTTAATATCATATGATGTTCATCACGTATTTGGTGAGAGTATATCATGAAGACACAACCCTATTGTTGGTGGTGATTTCACCAATTCTTAAAAAGGCAAAAAAGGCAACAGAACACATGGCTTTGAACATAATGCATTCATAATGAGATTTACAGACAGTAACACTAGCGCTTGGGCTATCCGAAGCAAAATCGGCAGTGATATAGGTAAACGAGTATCCAAGGTTTTACCAATTTTCCCATACCCCTTCAGCATCTCTTTGATGTAGGGTACTACAGTAGGATCTGACAAGCTGGCCAGTTTATGACAATAACCAATTGCTGAGACATAAGTACTTACTGTAGAAGAGGCRTAGCTGTGACTAAACAAATAAGCAATAAACAGTGCCATGGTTGTGGGAATAATGGGAAGTGTAACAACACGTGTCTGAAAAACATCTAAACAAAATTGCTTAAAAAGGCGCCATGCTCGCTGATATGTTGGCAAAGATGATTTTTGAAGACTAGAAGAAAGCAMCTTTTGCACTAYAGGACCCAATTCTGTGGGAGCAATTCGGGAGGTACAGGTGTTCTGAATCGTAATAAGCTGGAGACACTCTCCGAAAATGCCGTATCTCCAGACGAGATAATGCATCAGCATGTTGATTCTAAATCCCTGGAATGTGTTTCGCYTTAAAAAGTATGTTGTTTTCAAGACAAACTAATACCATTTTCCTGACAAACACCATCAGGGATTTATCCTTGCAGGTGCACTTATTAATGACATAAACTAAAGCAGCATTATCTGTGAAAATTGTGATACGCTTGTTGCGCATAGCTTTACCCCACAAGAGAAGGCTAAGGACTCCCTTCATTGGATAAAATTCCAATGTAGCTATGTTTTTATACTGCCACTCCCTGGGCCATTGCCCATAACACCAATGCCGACCAAAGATTGCCCCAAAACCCAAAGCCCCARATGAGTCAGTGTGAAGCTGCAAGGAAAAACTGTCCTCCCACACTTCATCAAGGAAAATTGAACTACCGTTGTTATGCTGTAAAAATTGGTACCATACTTCCAAGTCCGCCTTCACCCCTCTAGAAAGCCGAATGAGATGCTTAGGGTGCTTTACACCAACTGTGAGATCAATAAGCCGCCGTAGGAAGGCCCGACCAGGAACCACAACTTTACAGGCAAAGTTCAACTTACCAATCAGGAACTGAAGGTCATGCAAGGTAGCCTTTTTCTTATGAAGAAACTCAAAAATGAGGTTGGAACAGTCATGGACTTTGTCCAGAGGTAAACGAGCTTCTGATGCAACAGTATCAAGTTCAATGCCAGCAAAAGACAAAACTGTAGACGGCCCAACGGTTTTCTCTGGTGCCATGTGAATGCCCACATAATCACAAAGTGCAAGAAAACCTTTGAGGCTATGCCCACATCTAACTTTGGATGACTCAGCAGGCGAACAATATGCCGGATCTCAAGGTGATGTTTGGCAATCCACTCCAAAGCAGAGCTAAAAGCCTCAAAAGTTTTGCATGAACTGGCACAGCCCATTGGCATGCACTTATCATAGTAATAGGACCCTTTCCACTGCATTCCTAACAAATGGTAATCCCCAGGGTGTATTGGAATGATGCGAAAGGCATGCTTGATATCAGTCTTAGCTAAAAATGAACCAACGSCAGCTTTCTTAATACAGCAAATAGCGTCATCAATAGTTGCATAGTGGACACTAGAAAAATCTGAGGGTATACCATCATTAACTGAAAAACCCCTAGGGTAGGAAAGGGGATGAATCAATCGATATTCCCCAGGAGTTTTCTTAGGCACAAGACCTAATGGAGAAATGCGAAAATTAGGCAATGGAGGAGCTAAAAATAGACCAGCAATTCTCCCTGCCTCTAATTCTTTTGTAAGCTTAACATCTACAATCCCAGGGTTATGTAATAAATTAGGAACATCAAAAACGGCCCCTTGAACAAGAGAGAGAATTAATATGGAAACCAACAGAAAAACCTTCAACAAGAAATTGGGTTTTTCTACTGTTGTAACCAAGCAGTAAAGGCTTAAGATTGTCTAGCCTTACTGGAGTTGGCAGTGACACCACTGGAAGAGGCAGTGGAAGGCTGTTTGTCCTTACTGCCACGAAAATTACACTTTGTGAGAGGATGATTACCTTGACAGGATGGACATACATGCTTAAAAGAACCCGAACAAAACTGGCCTCTATGGGATTTTCGCTTTAACATCACTGCCTTGACTACTAACCTTACCAAAACCTGCCCTCTGACCTAAGGGGGGTTGTGATCTTATCCATAGCTCGGAATGTATGGAAATCCAAGGAAACCCGCTAGGATTATTCTGACGCAAATATCTAAAATTCTCGCCACATTAAGTATAGGATAATGGACGAGCTCTGAGCTTTATTGAAAATAATGACCGAGCGCGCAAAAAGTCATTAACTTTTCAGTGTTTTGCAAAAGAAAAAATTTATTAACAAGCTCGAAATGTGATATGAAAAATGTTCTATAATAACTGAACAAAAGACAACAAGCTTTGTTTTAAAATAAGCCTACAACCTTTATTTTGTTGATTGGCTTTTTAGTCATTAACAAATGAGCATGTAGGTATAGTTCTGCACTTAGTATGAAAGTTTTAACAGGGCTCGAAATAATGACCAGACATACGCAGGACAGCATGACCTTCATAATACATTTTTAGAAGGTCATAACCAATTTTTGGAAGGACAAAAACTTTGAATACTTAATGTTTAGTGAATCTAAAATTGTTTCTGTCTAAATATGGCCAGTCAATTTGTCCTTTCAAAACCTGATTTKACCGGTCATTTAGCAAATTTGGAAGGACATTGTCCTTTGACCTGATGTTATTTCGAGCCCTGTTTTAATGAACTGCAAGCGCAAAATTACTTACTGAATTTCACTAAATGGGATATTGTCCCTTTGAATAGAAATAAAAACTTTTAAGTTTTTGCATATTCACGTTCCATAGTCGCACGGGACTATAAAATCAAGCTTGGCGTGTTACCAAATGTGCATTTCGTTTGAGCTTGCGACGGAGATGGATACGTATGATGACGACGATGCAAAACTTTCTCAATTGCTGGATGCTTTGGAAAACGAAAATCCATCTGTTTTAAGTCCAAGTAATTTAAAAATGTTCTTAGATTATTTTGCATCTTGTATTATCGAGTTCATCATGAGGTACGTCTTGTACGTAATTTCTGGGGGTTTTGGGCTTATCTTTATTCATTTGCTTTGTTAGTGATTGAAGAGAAGTGTAGTCATGAAACACGTTTCAAGAAAATGGACGAGAAAGATTTGTTGGAATTAGCATAAGAGTCCATTCCAACCAATACCAAGAGAAAAGCAATGTGGGCTTTCCGTTTATACGAGTCATGGCAGAATTGGCGAAAGAGCAACTTTGCAGATGAGCAGGATGAGAAGTCAAAGGTTTCAAAGATATTGGAGAAAACCACAGAATTATTAGATATATCAAGAGATGAAGACCTATGTGAAGTTCTTTCTCAGTTCATCACAGAAGTCAGAAAGGAAGGAGGCGAAAGATATCCTGGAAAAACATTGCATGAGATAGTGAGTAGTTTGCAGAAGTATTTTGAAATGAAGGGAAAACAAGTTTGACAAACTTCAAAAAGCTTTAGACGTGGAAATGAAAACTTATACCAGCAATAAGCTAGGCTTACAAAGAAAACAAGCAAAAGTTATTTCCGAAGAAATGGAGAATGATCTTTGGGGAAAAAAAATCCTTGGAGATAGTTGTCCCAAAGTTTTGTTGAGAACAACTCTTTATTTGATAGGCCTAAATTTTGGGATGCGGGCTGGGGATGAGCATAGAAAATTGTCCATAAGGAATTTTTCATTTCATTGTGATTCCGAGGGAAGGGAATATTTGCTTCATTCTGAGGGCGTGTCTAAAACCATCCAGGGTGGTGTAAAACATCGTAAGCTAACTCCTAAAGTTAGTAGGGCATATGCTAACGTCCAATGTCCAGAGAAATGCATTGTGCGAATTGTGAAGAGTTACATAGAAAGATGCCCAAAAGAGGCATTAGATGATGCATTTTATTTAAAGCCCTTACCAAATTATGAGCAGAAGAAGTTCTGGTATTGTAGTGTCCCCTTGGGTCATAATACGCTTAAGAATGTAGTCCAATCAATGATGAAAGAAGCTGGGGTGGATGGTTTTTTCACAAATCATTCTTTAAGAGCAACAGCTGCAACTAGATTGTTCCAGGAAAATGTTGATGACAAATTAATTAGGGGTGTCACTGGTCACAGATCAGAGTCTTTACAGAGCTACAAAAGGGTATCTGACAAACAATTAGCTAAGGTTTCCAATATTGTTCAATCTGGGAAGGAAGGCATTTGTAGTAGCACCGAAACGGCAAACATTGGGAAACCGCCGCCCGAAGCTTTGGGGATTCCTAGTAATTCAGGGCAAATATGTTTGAATGTAAGTGGTGGTGCCATATGCAATATTACAATTCATAACAATTGATTTCTTTTTTGA